TTAGAATGTCGTGGAAACGTTCATTTATTTCAGTAATTCAACTCAAATTGTGAAACTCGTGTAATTAGAATATGGTGACATGCCAATCAGCTAATCAACTCAAAACACCTGCAAAGGTTTCCTGAGCCTTCAAAATGGTCTCTCAGTTTGGTTCACTAGGCTACACAATCATGGGGAAGACTGCTGATCTGACAGTTGTCCAGAAGACAATCATTGACACCCTTCACAAGGAGGGTAAGCCACAAACATTCATTGCCAAAGAAGCTGGCTGTTCACAGAGTGCTGTATCCAAGCATGTTAACAGAAAGTTGAGTGGAAGGAAAAAGTGTGGAAGAAAAAGATGCACAACCAACTGAGAGAACCGCAGCCTTATGAGGATTGTCAAGCAAAATCGATTCAAGAATTTGAGTGAACTTCACAAGGAATGGACTGAGGCTGGGGTCAAGGCATCAAGAGCCACCACACACAGACGTGTCAAGGAATTTGGCTACAGTTGTCGTATTCCTCTTGTTAAGCCACTCCTGAACCACAGACAACGTCAGAGGCGTCTTACCTGGGCTAAGGAGAAGAAGAACTGGACTGTTGCCCAGTGGTCCAAAGTCCTCTTTTCAGATGAGAGCAAGTTTTGTATTTCATTTGGAAACCAAGGTCCTAGAGTCTGGAGGAAGGGTGGAGAAGCTCATAGCCCAAGTTGCTTGAAGTCCCGTGTTAAGTTTCCACAGTCTGTGATGATTTGGGGTGCAATGTCATCTGCTGGTGTTGGTCCATTGTGTTTTTTGAAAACCAACGTCACTGCACCCGTTTACCAAGAAATTTTGGAGCACTTCATGCTTCCTTCTGCTGACCAGCTTTTTGTAGATGCTGATTTCATTTTCCAGCAGGATTTGGCACCTGCCCACACTGCCAAAAGCATCAAAAGTTGGTTAAATGACCATGGTGTTGGTGTGCTTGACTGGCCAGCAAACTCACCAGACCTGAACTCCATAGAGAATCTATGGGGTATTGTCAAGAGGAAAATGAGAAACGAGACCAAAAAATGCAGATGGGCTGAAGGCCACTGTCAGAGAAACCTGGGCTTCCATACCACCTCAGCAGTGCCACAAACTGATCACCTCCATGTCACGCCGAATTGAGGCAGTAATTAAAGCAAAAGGAGCCCCTACCAAGTATTGAGTACATGTACAGTAAATGAACATACTTTCCAGAAGGCCAACAATTCACTAAAAATGTTTTTTTATTGGTCTTATGAAGTATTCTAATTTGTTGAGATGGTGAATTGGTGGGTTTTTGTTAAATGTGAGCCAAAATCATCACAGTTAAAAGAACCAAAGACTTAAACTACTTCAGTCTGTGTGCATTGAATTTATTTAATACACAAGTTTCACAATTTGAGTTGAATTACTGAAATAAATGAACTTTTCCACGACATTCTAGTTTATTGAGATGCACCTGTATAATAAAAGCTTGATACTTGGCGTCCGTGTATCGATACAGTATTGCCGCGGAAAATATCGTGATACTGTGCTGTATCGATTTTCCCCCACCTCTATCAGCTACAGCTCTGCACAGTTCAATAACGAGGCAGTTTTATTCCTAATAAGAATATTTATTGTTGTCAGCCATTTTAACATTGTAAATACACTGTTTGAACTGCACTGTGCATACAGGTAAACAAACTTAAATAATAATTCAATTAAAATGTGTTGTACCTAAAAGTTAAATAAAAACTGTACTGTACTTCATTGTAAAAAAAAAAACCTTAGATTAAATTAAAATGTATTGCGTTTTAAAATAATTGTGATTCCTCTGCCTACCACTAGAGTAAGCCTGAGTACCACACTTTGAGAACCACTGTTCTAAAGAAAGGTCATTTGGGTGCTTCATCTCATTCTGAAATCTCACATTATGGGTCACACTGGGCCTCATTTACGAAACGAGCTTACGACAGAAAAGTGGGCGTACAGTCGTTTCTATGCAAAACTTGTAACTTATCAATATGGACGTGAGCGGTGGCTATACGATCAAATCTCACGTCTGGTCTCTGCTCGTGTACGCAAGTTTGAGTTTCCTGATCTTAGTAAGTCTGGCAGAGAATTGTATAATGACAGCATTTTGTTCATTTAGGTTATTTTCCTGACCGACAACCGAAGCTCAGTCGCGGTGTTAATTTTGACAAATTTCGCAAATTTTCATTTAGTTTCAGTCATAGTCTTTTGACTAAAATGCCATTTAGTTTGTCATATTTTAGTCACCTGAATTGTTAGTTTTAGTTGACTAAATCTATAGTAAATTTAGTCGGCTAAAATCTAATGGGTTTAGTTGGTTTAATGTATTTCTCAAAAATTTCCAAACTCATTATATAGGTTTGATATTAAGGTTTTATCATGATAGATAGTCCGATTTGGTGACACACAACATGCCTTTATTAAAATTAAATAAAACCACTTCTCATACAGAACAAGAACATGGTCTTCTTTTTAATGCAATACCAATGGTTATACAGGCTAATTATGCATTCTTTATAGCAACTTGTTAACCATATTCTTCATTCTTTCAAGCAGACATTTAGTTCTATAAATAAATTTAGATTAATCTTTAGGGCTACTAAAGTGATTCAGTCAAAAAGGAGTGAGTGATTTTCTGTCTGTCTTTTTTTTGCTTGATTAACATAAATGACTCGGACAATAGCAACTAAATTAGGCTGCTGTCCCTTTAAAACCGAATGAATGGATGCAATGTACTGATGCAAGCACGTCCGATATTCTCCCTACGGTTTACATTCACTTAAGGTGTAATCGACTGTGTTTAAATGAATACTCATCAAAACAGACAATTCTACATAATTTTGTGTGTAATTCGCCGTTCATGCGACGTGAAAGAGTACTCGCGCGCTCTGAGAGGCGCTTTCTGTGTGTGTATCCTTCAGTGTCTGCGCTCAGAAATCCGGACAGAACTGAGTTCTCTCTTGCATCGTCAGATTTATCCATATGTTTGCTCTTCTCTCACTCCCACATATTGAACGTTTTATAAGACGTGCCGCAAGTGTATGTTAGCTTATGTCCCACCGGATAGATCAGTAGGCTATGTTAGTTCATATGTATGCATCTAGTCTCCGAACCATGCAGCAGATTCGTTCTGAATTAATATCTTTCCAAATCGTTCCTCCCAAACATTTTAGTCTCATTTTTATTCGTTGACGCAAATGTCAATTGATTTTCGTCATAGTTTTTGTCATTCAAAACGAGTTTTTGTTCCTTATAGTCTTGTTTTTGTCTGTGAAAAAAATCGATCCAAATTATTTTATGACTCATGAATGTTTCGAAGGCAGCATGTAAACGTGATTGACATGTGAGGTTGTGTTTATTTTTTTAACGTGTGAACATTTCGGACTCGGGTCAATTTCTCTTTTGTGAGATTGCTTCCTTTTTTTGGCCGGGTTTCGTTTCGCCGTGTTGTTAACTCTAGGGGTGAGGCTTCTAAACCGGGTGTTTTTAAGGGCGTGATATTCAAATGACGATTGTTTTCTGCTGCCACATTTATCAACATGCGATCATTCGTACGATGAGATTGGCGGCATTCGAATGTTTCATGAATCACACGTGAACTCTGTCGTAAGTTGATCTGTGCGCACGGATCTGCGCTCGTTTCTATGTTAGATTGCATTCACAATCAATGGGCCTCATTTATCAGTTTCATGTTGACTTGACTGTTTGATGGTTTGTGTTTGTTGATCTGCAGGAGGGTCAGACAGAGCTGAGGGAGATGACCGCTGCGTCGCTGGACAAGCTGCTGGAGGGTCACGGTGCACTGCAGCTCCAGCAGGGGGCTCTGAAGGAAGGGCAGGAGCAGCTGGATGCCTCCGTCAGTGAAAACCTGCAGAGACTGGCGCAGGAGAAAGCTCTCATCAGCACCGGCCAGCAACTGGTGGCTCAGTTAATTCAGGGCATTACACAGAGAATGGGTCAGTCACAGAAAAATGCATTTGCTTCAAGGCTGGCCTGTGAACTCTCAATTCATATAGTAACTAGGTTAACATTATCTGTTGTTCTTCACTTGTCATATCCCAATTATATTTGATCGTCAGTGGTTATGGAAGGTTTTATATATTTCTGTAACACATTTACAGAGAACGTAAGTGGGCAGCTGAAGGGTCAGAGCGCAGAAGTGCAGGAGGGACATCAGGCGATTCTTGATGACCTGGCTGTGGTCCGAGGAAGTGCTCAGGACATCTACGAAAAAATGGGTAATTACTTCTGAAATCATACGCTACCGGTCAGACGTTTGGAAGGATTGCCATGTTATTTGTTTTTGTTTTTTGAATTGAGTCTCTTCTGCTCCCCAAGTTTGCATTTATTTGATCACAAATATAGTGTAAACCAGTCATCTGGTGAAATGTTACGGTTTATAACAACTGCTCTATTTGAACGTTTTAAAATGTAGTTTATTTCTAGGATCAAAGCTCCAGTCTTCAGTGTCACATGATCCTTCAGAAATCATTATATGCTGATTTACTGCTCTATTATCAATTATTATTATTGGTGCTCAATTATTAATAACGAGTAGGGCTGGGTATCGATTCAGATGTCCCGATTCGATTCTCAATTT